ATGAATTTTCTGAATGAAGAAAAACAGAATTAAACCAGCAATGCAGCATAAGGACCAAATATTGCACATGTCAGGTGTGCAAGTTTGAAATACACTGGGCAGAAATCACCCAGCACCCACAGCTAGTATAGTCTGATTATAGGAAATGTTCAAAAAACATGAGAAAAACACCAACTCTTGGTTCTATCACAGATCGTTAGATGTGTCAACGTTATCTATATATCCATTTATACCTATGTAGTAAGCAGAGGCAAGCAGCTCACCGATGCTCACCAATGCTTTCAAACAAATAAGTTACAAACTGTAATAAAAACGTTTCAAACTAAAGTAACTGTATCACAGAAAGGATCCCTGCAACATGACCTGCATTAAGAAAAGCAACTCTTTTGTTTCAGAATTAATTATGAAAAAATCAGGCTTATTTTTGATGCCACAGCTGACATGTATTTCTTCTGGCAGCAGTGCCAGCTTCAATAAGCATTTATCCCTATATGACAGCTCTGGATATCCCTGTGCTATGGGTGTCAGCACAAGAGAAGAGAGATTAGACCAGGGCCTCCTGGCAGCCCCTTGAACTGCACTGCTGCTTGTGGGGAGAAAAGGTTCTGGGCTTGCCAGTATCTAAAGAGTGCAGCCACTGGACACTGCAGAGTCTTCCTGTACTTCTGAAAATCTGATGACTGAAAGTCTGTGAATATTTTAAGACTACCAGAAAAAGGTGTCTGGTAATAATCCCTCATCCTTCTACATAGGAATTACTTAATATTGAGGCAGGCTACCAATGTTAATAAGCAACAGCACTCACATCATGCTGCCTTGACAAATGTCCTCAAACAGTGTTCAATCTCAACAAGAGCACTCATCTCTGACTTTAATGGTATTCATTATATGCTTCAAGTATGTGTGTAGCTTAGCACCTTGTCAGGATGTGTCCTACACGACAGAAATCAACAATTCCATGCATGAATGTAACCTAACCTACTAATAGGGTTTTAAAGATTCGTTTGAGGTCTTTCCAAAATCCTTTGAAGGACAGCCAAAAGAGGGGAGATTCTTGTTTAAGACAGAAAGGGTAGGAGATATTCCTATCCATGCTGGAGCTTCTCCTGTTCAACATATTTAAAAAATATCTGACAAGAGGACAGAAAATTTTCCCAATGATATGAAGCTATTCAGGATAAGGACTATGAGAATTCCAGAATGATCTTAGGAAAATGAGTGACTAGGTAATAAAAAGGTGAAATACATTCAACACAAATTCATGCAAAGCAAGAAGAAAAGGAAAAGCAATCCTAATTTCACATCTAGAATGGCAGGCTGTAGCTGACCATCGGAGCTTCGATACAAGACCTCAGGGTTAAAATAGCCAGTTCCATGAAAATGCCAGCACAATGATCAGCAGCAGTGAAAAAAAAAAAGCTGAACAAAAAACCACCCAAAAGTAGATTAACTGAAAAAAAAAAAAGAAAAAAGAAAAATTGTTAGAAAGGAATAAAGGACACAGAAAACAAAATTAGACACGTGGTAAATCTATGGTTCACTCATGTCTCGAACAGCATTTCACAAGCATATGGCAGAGTGGGAAGATTTTAGAGAACCATTAGAAGACCAAAGATATAATTTACATAAGAAGTAAAACTGAGCAGAGTAGGATTTTTGAGCCTTGAACACAGATTATGAGAAGGGGAAGGATGCCTGACAGAGGTCTACAAAAGCATAAATGGCATGAAAAGGATGGACAACTACCAATGTCTTTTTCTATGCAGCTGGGAACATTACAATAAATCAAATCAGTAAGAGACAGATTCAAAACAAAAGACACATTTCTTACCAGGATAAACACAGACCTACCAAGGAAAAGCCAGAAGACAGTTGGGGATATTGGTAAAAATAGATCTCTAGTTTGAGCTAGTATAGGCTCTTTTCTGTCTTTGATAATTACAGACAATAGTTACTGTAGGTGTATACAGTAAAAACTGTACCTGAATCCACTCCTGCTGTTTAGCATCTCCTTTGTTAGTTTTAGCTTCAAAGCCTTTCCCACCGTATTTCTGGTCTTCACTTACACACTTCACATGTTCCTTATAGTCATCACCCCTAAATATAAGAGATTTTTAACCACAGTTCACTGAAATGCTTCATTCTTCAAACTAGGCAACACTTAGCTAACCAACAAGCTGAAATAATAATTAATTTAAATGAATGGATCATTTAAACCTTATTACTGTCAACACTTAAATTATTAAAATGTGATGTGCTTAAAGTATGTGCTTGTAAGACTACAGACATTTCTGTTATGCTACAGGATTCGGTGAAAGCTTCTGACTTGTATCTCTTGTATTTGTGACAAAAGTGAGCAAGTGAGTCTGCAGAGTGAGAAAGGCTATTTCCCATCCTTTACATACCAGAAATCCTTGCCACAATCCATGCAAGACAGGCACTGACACTTTCTGCAGATGTTCACATGCTTTTCAACCTGTGCTTTCTTCACAGCTTCTCCACACGCATTGCATGTGAAAACTACCATGTTGGCGAGTGGTCAGGAGCCTCTTCCTTCCCACACAAGCTCAGTTCTGGGAATATAAGAAGAAGATCTTAATTTACAGCTTGAAAGAAACACTTGGAGGGCTGAAGCAAAACACACCCAGGGCACCCACTGAGAAACAAGGTGTGCAGCCCAGAGCTGCAGGTGCAAGAGCTTGTTTCACCTGAAGAGCTCCCTGAGCATAGGGGAGATCAGAACCCCGGGAAACAGCAATCCCTGTATCTGTCACCCGAACTGGAGAACCAGTAACCACTATACCCATTACCCAAACTGGGGAACCAATAACCCCCGTAGTCATCACACAAACTGCAAAACAAGTAACCTCCGTACACGTCACCTAAACTGGAGAATCAGTAACCCCTATACCCATGACCCGAACTGCAGAACCAGTAACCCCCGTACCCGCCACCCCAATCCCGGAACCGGTGACCCCTGTACCGCCCCCCAAGCCGATACACCGGCAAGCGGCGTTCCCCGTTCCCCTCCTTTCCCCTGCGGGATTCCGCCGCTCCGTCCGGCTCCCTGCAGCTGCCGAGCCCCGCCGAGCGGCAGCGCTGGGGGCTGACCAGGCCACACGGCAAGGGAAGTCCGGCGTGGCGGCCACCCGCGCTCCTGGGCGGCAGCCGGCTGGTGCCGTGCCGTGCCGTGCCGTGCCGTGCCGTCTCACACCCGGCCCCGGCCCCGGCCCCGGCCCCGGCCCCGGCCCCGGCCCCGGCCCCGCTCCCCGCACCTCAGCGGTCGCCGCCGCCTCCGCCGCCGCCGCGCGCGGCACGTGCCGCACTGTCCCCACCGGCCCTCGCCGCCCCGCGCCTGCGCCGCCCCCGCCCAGCGCGACGGAACGGGAAAAGGAGGGGAGGGGAAGGGAAGGGGAGGGGAAGGAAACAGGAAAGGAAGGGGAGGGAGCGGCGGCGGAAGCGGCCGCTGGCGGGGATGGAGCTGGGAGGTGGCCGGAGCCGGTAAGCGCTGGGCTGGGCAGGGCCGGCTCCTGCCCTTCGGGCGCTGTCCCGCCCGTGCCAGGCCGCGCCGCGTTCCCGGGGCTGTGTGTCCGTGTGCTCCTCCCGGCACCGGCCGCTCCCCCGCCCTATCCCTGGGCAGAGCCGGCCCGCGATGAGGCAATCCCTGCCTCTGTCCCCTTCTCTTCGAGCCTGGGCTCCACCCGGGCAAGGCTGAGGGGAGCTGCGCCGTAAATAGCGGCCGTGCCGCAGGGGATCCCCTGCTCGGGAGCGCTCCCCGTGCGGACACACGCACCCGATGCATGAGGGGCAGGTCACTGCCAAAGGAATTGCAGGATGCCGTGGTGGGAGATGCTCACAGAGAAAGCAAATTAATGTGCTTCCTTGATTTTAAGGCCTGGTCAAAACACGATAAGCATGAATAGAGAAAAAGCACGATATAATAGCCTCCCACCCCCCTCCATGTAATACAGCAGGAGGCAGGGAATCACAGAGTGAAACAGGATAAATTAAAATGTGGAACCTATATCGTTCACGAGATTTGAAGATGGAGTGACCACTATCTGGTCATGCTTAGCAGAAGGTGGTTTTCCTGCTTCATTCCTTCGAATAGGACGGTTTTCCTCCTTCATTCCTGATTAGAAGACTAGAAATTGTGATTGTTCTAATAGTTGGAATTGTCATGTTTACAAGTGCACAGAGGAAGCATTACATCCTTGCAAGAAAAAAAAGAAAGGAAGTGTAGAATTCAATGTCAGTGTGTTGTGTTGGAATGTGACTTGTGTTTTCAACCTGTTAAGAAGGGACTTTTTTCATTTAGATATTACATTGTATTAAAAACAATACCATGCTAATTTTTCTGATTAATCAGATCCACAGTGGAAATTTACATAGCTAGAACAGCAACAAATGTCTTAAATAATACTAGTACTATGTTCTCCCTTCTGAATTTAGAGAATGAAGAAAATGAGGTTTTACTCTACAAATGCTACTGATTTTATACATGTGATATGTTTTTGTATTAGAATTATTGTGGAGCTTGTCTAAACTGGGGTGCATTTTTTTTGTGGTTATGAAGCTCAGTTTATTGGCAGCACCATTAGATTTTTGCAGATGCTCTTTGTTGCAAGCAAGGCTCTGTTAAAATCAGTATTTCATATGTGTATTGCTGCGTATCTGTTGGTGAGCAATACTGTGACTCATCTTTAACCAGAAAAATGTCATTAGCGATCAAATTGCAGGTGTAAACTGAAGTCTGTCTCCTTTGAAAATTAAAATAAATTGTAAAAAGGTTCTTAATATCTTATACTAATTTTGAAATTTAATATTCACCTTATAATTTTATTTCATTGTAGGTAATTTAAGTGGTTTTCTAGCATGGACACTGTTGCTAGCCACAGCTGTCATCTTCTCCAGCAGTTACATGAACAGCGCATTCAGGGGCTTCTCTGTGACTGCATGCTGGTGGTGAAGGGTGTCTGCTTCAAAGCCCACAAAAATGTATTAGCTGCTTTCAGTCAGTATTTCAGGTATGTGATAGAAAATTCTTCTCTTTAAAAAGTTAACTAAATGCTGTTAGCTGAGGTTTTCTCTGAGAATGGTATCTTGTTTTCTGTTGCTTGCAGGCTGCATAATTCTTGGGAGTATAAGGAGAAAAGGGAAATTCTTTGTCCAGAGATAAAGCTGTGTCAAGTATTCATACTGTACTCTTTGATTTTCACATTTTCTTGATTTACTTGCTTATAGTGCTTCATATAATGGATTCTGGCATGGACCTGCATTCAGTATTTCACCAGAAACCCATTACTGCTTACAAGGAATAGAGTAGAGTATATGAATAGAGCCAGATAAGGGTTATAATTGATAGAACGTTATCCATTTCCAAATAATGGGACTTGTTTCATCAGTTATAGTCTAAATAAAATGTGACTATATAGGTTAGTGAATCTCTGCTTATTCAGATTCTCAGAGACAACTGTGTTTTAAAGTATACAGGTGGCCCATTACACCACATCACTGCTTTGTTCCCCTTCTGTACTGCCCTCAGTTGTGCCTCCAAATTTTGGAGTGTGCTGGATCTCCCAGCTTAGTATTTTATAGTAGTTATGAGTAAGCTGTTAGATCTGGCAGTTTTCAGACCTTGATTTTTGAAACATCCCTAAAGTTTGACTGCTAACTCATTTGTAAGAAACCTATTCTTATGACCAGGGGAAAAAGATAAGAGGTTCCTTTTTCTCCTCTAGTGGTGTACTCTGATGAAGTGTAATTATGCTCAAAGACCAAATTTTTAAAGTAGTTAAAAAGAACTAAGAGCTCAGCTCCTCTCAATAGCTCAATAGGATATAAGTGGTTAATTAATTTAGGCTCTCACCCCAGATCTGTTCATTATAGTTATGATTTTAATTTAGGTAGGATGGTCTAGATTTATAAAAGTATTTGGATATGGGCACTGGCTTCAGAGTATACCCTGCGTTTCTAAAGTTTCAGCATAGATTCACATTTTCTTAAGATTTAGAGCTCATTGATACCATGCCCACCTTTAAACAAAATCAAATTTGAGATTAGCCCACAGAGAGGAACCATCAAGTCTGGGGCATTTTTTAGTGTAAGAAAGTAACTACATGAGTGACCTGACCCCATTTATATGTCATTGTTTACTGGATTTTAATGGGAAGATATAAAGTTCTTGATTGAGAGAATATGAACCCACTTGATCTAGGACTGCTTGTGCATACGAAGAACTACATCTCTGATGCCAAGAATACTTTACATCAAATAGTAAGAACTTTTGTGAATTCATTCACTTTAAGGATTCAGTGACAATATAGTGGGTAATGGTTGCACTGCTTTATTAAGATTATGTACCTGCACTCTTCATTATTCTTTTACTTGGTTCTTATCCAGTAAGAAAAAAAAACAGTTTAAAAAAGTACCTTTTTTAATATGAGAGAATAAATTGAAAATAATGCCATCTTCTTGTTTAATATTGCTATCCTCTTGTGCATTTGTGGAGAAAGAAATAATGCTAAGAACTTTGATAGGCTTACTGATGGAGTTCAGTGGACAAGCTCAGTTGCCAGAGGAGAAGAGTTTAGCTGACTTTGAGGTCTGTGTTCTCCATTTGGCTAGAAAATTTCTTATGTCCTGTTTGATTTGCCATGATGAAAGGAGAAAAACCATTCTGAGTCAACCAGTTCTGCAAACTGTCCGTAGATACACCACTACACCTAATATATGAAGAATGGTGGATAAGAAACCACAAGCATAGGGTGTTATTTGAAAACATAAAAAAATACAGAATTAAAGTTAGATAAATGATCATTTACTTTGATTTATACTTCAAGTGCACTAATGTAGGACTAATATATAAGACAAGTAATTGCGTTTTGAGAAATTCATCTTCAAAAACACAGCGATCTAGGTAAGGCTGTAGAGTACAAACTTGTTTCATACCAAGCATATTTGAGATGTATGTGTGTTTTCCTTATGGAAATGTGTGTGAATTGTTTGTGTTTGTATTTGAATATTTGCCTTCTTTTATCAGGACCCTTTTCCAGAATTCTTCAGGCCAGAAGAATGATGTGTTTCACTTGGACATTAAAAATGTAGGTGGCATAGGCCAGATCCTGGATTTCATGTACACCTCCCACCTGGATCTTAGTCAGGACAATGTACAAGCTATGCTGGACATTGCACAGTGCCTCCAAGTGCAAAACGTGCTGAACATTTGCCACACGTTTTTAAAGTCTTCCACAGCTGTGGAGCAGGCAGGCAGCATGCCCTGTAATAGTGTATTTTCACTACAGAATACTTTGGGTACGGATACCAGCTGTGCCAGTGACAGCTATGGGACAAACCTATTGCCTGAGTGCTCAGCTGACACACAAACTAACAAAGTCTTGGCTGAGCACCACTCACATGCATCACAGTCTGTTAATCTGCACACCCCATCGGGTGATGGACAGAAACCACCACAAGATTCCTTAGATGGCAACTGCACAGAGCTTCCATTTAAACAACCAAATTACTACTATAAACTACGCAACTTTTACAGCAAACAGTTCTATAAACAAAACGCTTGCTCTGATCACGAGAGAGGAGCAGAACCATCCTTTTCTTACAACACATCCACGGAAATAAACTCAGTGGAGAATAATTCTTGCACTGTCAATCACTCTGAGTGTATTCTGGAAACTTCTGATCATTTACCGTCAAACTTTCTGGTTCAGCCTGCAAGTGAAGCTGCTCCAGACCAAAATGCAGAGAGCACAGTTGTGCAACCCACCAGACAGATGCGGCTGAAAAAGGCAATACACCTCAAAAAGTTAAATTTTCTAAGATCTCAGAAATCAGCAGAGCAGCCACCCGAGCCCCAAAGAGATGACAGTAGAATAACAGAAGTAATTGAACCTGTAAATGAAAGTACCACAGACACGACAGATGTTAGAGTTACTGATGATAAAGAAGCTGAAGATTTAGTGAATTCAGAGAGTTTTGAACAAACTGTTGAAGTGGAAAGATCTCAAGGTCCTTTGGAACAAGAAGGACAATCACAGACTCTTCAGTCACAGAAACAATATACTTGTGAGTTATGTGGGAAGGCTTTCAAACATCCAAGCAATTTGGAGCTACATAAAAGGTCTCACACAGGTACAGTTATCAGTTACTTGGTCTGCAGACCAAATATTTCAATTACAGAGAATATCTTGCAGTGTCTCTTGAGTCAGAGATGGTGGTTAAGGGTCTGCTTTCAAAAGGGTGTGTTTTGTTGTTTTTAAATGGATAATCCTACAGGAATAAAGAACTGTAATACTGAGTTGTAGAAAAGATTTCTTGTGTGTATTTGGGGTTTGGGTAATTTTTCAAAGAACACCATGTGAATTCAATGAAAATGAAATTTTGATAACAATTTTGGTTTTGTCCTGCATTTAGATGAGTCATTTCTAGTTAGTTTGTCAGGTGGCCTGGATGTTTGAGCCAGATGACAATAAAAGGTGTAAACAAATAAATGGTACTGTAAGTATACTAGAATACCTCTGTTCTCTCTGGTCATATATTCATTGTAAGATAGAAGTGAATGGGGCTTGGTAGTAATTTTTTTTTTTACCTGTAGAAATATGTAGAAATTAAAGAAAAACTTTAATTTTGTTTACCTAGAGAGTAAGGCTTTTGCAGGCTGCAGAATAAAAGGGAATTTTGAATTAATGTACTTTGTTTTAAAAACTCACAGGTAATATTTTTAAACCTAACGTAGATTTATTTCTAATTATTTTTTTATTTTAGTGAGAAACAAAACCTAGTTTAACTTCAAATTCTTTAGCTGTTCAATTTAACCAGCATGTCCTATTATTAGATATGCTTCTTTAGAAGAGTTTTAAGGAATTAACTTGGTTAACCAATTGATTCAAAGTTCTTGAGACAGTATTACTCCTGGTTAAGCTCTTGAATATTTTTTGCTTTTCTTTTTCCCTGTATTAAATATACAAATGCATCTCTCTCAATCTTGTCAAATAAACATAACTTTGGAAATGATCATACACGTATTGGTACTTTGACACTAAATATGAAAATCTTAGCAGAATTAATTTATTAATATATAGTAATAAATATTAATATGTTAATATAATTAGTTAATTTTTTAACTGATCCTTAGAATTCAAAGTTTATTTTTCTATTTTATCCATAGAAAAATCTTCTCAGAACCTGAAAATATGAACATTTTGCATTAGCTTCCTGAAGTTTTCAGTTGTTAGCTTTAACTGCTTCTGTATGTTCGTGTTTCTAATTTTTTTTTAATTTGTTCTCCTGTGAAAGAGTTGCATATGCCTCTTACCTAGATCCTCTTTTTGCCATGTGTTTTTTTAAATCTTATTATCTAGCTTGAGCTGGTATCAAATAAATGATCCAATAGAAGACAAGAGCATCTAGAAAAGTCCCAGCTAAGGGAGAGACTGCAGCAACATGTCAGTTTGTGCTAGAGAGACCCCAGGATTCAGGAATTCTCTGTTGTTTTTCACACACCATCTTCTTTCAGTAGTTTTAAAAAATTCCAGACTTGAATGCTAGTTAATAAAGCATTAGCATTCTTCTATGGGTGTGCTGAGATGACAAAAGTGTAAGAGCCTAAGTTTAACAAATAATAAGCACGTCAAAGGATGGGCAAAACTGAAGCAAGGATATGAGTAGAAATGTCTGTTTGCTTCCCTGTTATTTTTGGGAATTATTCCCTGTTTTCACGTTAATTTATTTTTAAATACCCAACTAGTGCAAAAAGAGTGTTTGGAAAATTGCAGTGGATAGTGAATAGGATGTTGATATTGGAAAGACCTGTGGCAGAAGGTACAGGGCACATCTGTGTTGTTATTGTTAGGTACACTGATAGTTAAGTAATGTAAGTGTATGCTAAAAGCCATTTCTATTCATCTGCCTCTTCAGAAAGCATAGCAAATTGCTAATTAATTAATTTTATTTAAAAGCATTCATTTTCTAGAGCTAAGCAGAAGGATTAGCAGGTATTTCAGTATTACAGTGGTCACTGAAAGCCCTCCCAATACAGCTTTGCTGAAGAGATGGAGGAAGCTGAAATGGACATGTCATACTGGCAAACCTGTTTTAAACCCAAAAATGACAGTTCTTGCTACACAAGTGCTGTGGTGGTCTGGTTGTCAAGAAAAAGCATGTGTGAAATTCTCTGTCCCTGTTCCTGATCACTAAAGAATTTGCAGGTTAGCATGGGTGCATTGATGAGTTTTCTATCTAGTGAAGGCAGCCAGAGTGTGTTCACCAGTCATTGTACTGGCATGTCTGGCTGTTTTAATTGTGTTGCTCATGGACATTTAAAGTAATCTCTAAACAGAGCTTACTGCACTGCCTTTGGTTGATTTTGGCTGAATGTTATAATTTCTTTATTATTATATTGACTTGTCTAAAAAAAGGAAGCAAGTATATCTCTTATATATAGTCCATACCTGTCCAGGAACATCCAGTGGTTTTGTTGGGGTATTTTATATATTTTCAGGGAACATCTCAAAAGAACAACCCAAATCAAACTCGGGCCAATGGAAAGAACTCTTGGCAGGATGGAATGCCACAGGAACAGAGTAGCACTGCCATGTAATACATTGTTGATCCTCAACATTTTCATTCCGAGCTTTGCTCCAGCAACTTCCAGCATTCCTTGCCTTAGTGAGTACAGCTCCTCACCTTTGTGATCTCATCAGGAACACCACTTCTGCCTTCATGCCTTTCTCCTCTGAACCTGACACAACACTGCTTTGATCACTGTTGTAAACTTTATCTTCACCTCTTCTTGCAGAATGTTGAACAAGAAAGGATACAACAGAAGATAAAAAGTACAAGGCAGCCCAAGGGTTCAAAAGTAAAGTCCCCTGATTAAGCACCATTTAAATTGTATTCAGTTACTACTTTTCTCCAGTTTTTCTCTATTGCTTTGATCCAGCCATGGATCCCACTATTGTGTACTTTATCTTCTTGCAGGGTGTTGAACAAGAAGGATACAATCCTGGTGTTCTCAAAGGAGGCTTTTGGTTTGGAATTTATTGGCAGTTGTATAATTGTAGAATAATTTAGATTACCTCGGGAGATCCGTGCCAATCTGCTCCAGTTTCCTGTGCAAGGCACATCAAATTAGATCGAGTTTTTTTGCTCATGACTTTTTGTAATGAAAATTTTGGTCATATCCAGAGACAGAGTTTCCACAACCTTCAGACAGTCATTCCCAGTGTCTGATCACCCTCGTGGAGTAAAAGATTATTTTCATATATCTAATTGGAATTTGTCATGATCAAACTTCCATCTCCCACCTCTTGTCCTAAGACTGGGTACCAGGAACAACCTGCCTGCATCTGCCTTCCCAAGCCTGTAGACAGCAGTAAGATTTCCTGTTTGCCTTCTTTTCTTGGGGCTCCAGATATGGTCTCTCCAGTGGCAGGCAGAGAAGAATGTTCAGCTTATTAGTTGCACTCTTACTCATACACTCTCAGGTACAGTGGGGCTAATTGCTCTGAGCAACAGGTTACTTGATAAGCCCAGTATTTTGAAATTCTGTGCAAGTGAAAAATTATTCTCCAAAAACTAATATGATGTTTCTTTTTAAAAAAAATTAATTTGTTTTATCTAGATCTTAGGGGAAAAACCTCCAATTCTTTATCCATGAGTACAGTTAGAATGAGGCTGCATGCAGTCTATAATAATAGTTTGGAGAAATTTGAGCCTACAATTCCTTCCCTCTCCCTGTAGTCATTTCAGAGTGAATTCCTGTTTAGATATTATTCTTTAGGTCTCTAGTGACTTTTTTTTTTGAATATAGGTAATTTCCGCAAAAATTGTTTATTAGTGTTTTTTATCCTCCAATTCCTATTATCTTGATGTTTTTATGGCTTTCAGAATCCTTCCCAGTTGCTACAGATCTGGCTCCCTGTTGGTTTCATTTATATTTGTGTTGTCAGTATCAGAATTTTTTTGTTTTGCAAGTTTAAAGCCATAATGAAATCAAGTCTTAGTGATCTTTATAGTTTAGTGACTTTATGGTTTATTTACTAGTTTCATAATTTTTATCTTTAATTGAAGGAAAGCTTTTTAAAAACTGCCAGATTTCCATTGTCCCCTAAGTAGATAGTAGAAAGTAGATAAAGCCTCAAGCTGTCAGACTAACTTCAAAGTTGCAATCTGTGAAGTAACATAACTGTATGTTTACTGTATGTTTTAAAATCTAAAGAGAATTGCATTTAGTCCTTGATCCTAAAAGATGTTGGAAGAACTTCATCTGTTTTTGGCAGGAGGAAAAGAAAATGGAATTCCCACACCTGGATATGGTAGATGTTGCTTGTAACATTTACAAGGATGAAGGAAAAATATTGCTGTAGAGAATACTTAATGGAAGAGACGCCAATAGGTGTTCTGTAAAGTCAGGAAAATTAAAATTAAAGAAGTAAATAAAAATCTTTAGACATATTTTTTTTAATCATGAACAAGACGAAACACAGTGTAGGATCTCTTTTTCCATTTGGAAATGTTCTGTTTTCAAAATCACATGGATTTACACTAGTTTTGTTGCCCTGCACACGTGGGACAGATTACAAATGTCGTTTAAATGTGCAGTTAGACTCATGAAGGAAGATGATGAATATGACTGTTATTGAATCAATGATATTTGAGCATCGTTTTTGTTTTCAAAATTCTAAAAGATACATATAAAATTTTATCAACAGTGTAAAAACTAGGAAACCAAGAACTAAGCAGGGGAAATTAAAAAACACTTTTACGAAATACTATAGAGGAGAAAAAGTTATTACAAAAACATACTTGTCTTAACAGCAAGATAATTGAAGTGCTGTACAGTCACATTCTAGATTGAGAGGCAAGTTATTTTGAAAAGCTAAAGTGGGCTGCACCAGTTTTTATTAAAGCTGCTAATCTGTTTTTGGAGATTGAAAGACAATAGTTTTACATGTATAAATTCAGAATTTTGGAGAAAAATACTTGGGTAATCTTCAGGTACTTTTATATAGGATGAGAATTTAAAGGCAAATATGTATTTTCTGGAAGTGAATGGCTATGTGCTGAGCAGAGATGTTTGGTAGACATTAAAATCAAAAACCACAGTTCTTCCAAATTAGCTTCCCTTCATTCCTCCTCCTTTTTAAGACTGTGTCTCCGTGCAAGGGAAAAAAACAGGTGCCCTTGCCATCACTTTTGTTGTTGGGCCTTGTCATCTATTCTGTTCTTCCTGGTGATATGATACTCCTTTCATTTCAAATCAAAAGTATTTTTAAAAAATTTAAATCTGCACCCATTCATATCCAAACTCTTCTACTTGTTTCGGAAGATAAACTCTGAGCAAGTCTGCCTTACAAACTTTGTGGTAAAAGCTGTTTTTCCCTCTTGAATTTCCCCTTAAGTACATGGGTAAGTGTCCTTTTGGGGATTTTGTTACTCTTACATTGCATGTTTTAAAAGGAAGTGTACCAATTTTAAACATTTTTGTTCTACTGCAACTGTTAGAAGTTCTATGTTCTGTTTCTTCTTTTAGGTGAGAAACCTTTTGAATGTAACATTTGTGGGAAACACTTCTCACAGGTGGGAATATTTTATATATTATGGTACTTACACTTGAAATGTGTTTCTAAAAATCTTGGATTTAAATTTGGATTTTTTTTTGTTCTAAGACAGAACTCACTTTAGGGATAAATTATTAAAATGTCATATTTGAAAATAGCATGTTTAATGTTTTAGATTTTTTGATAGATTCTATGTCTTTGATTCTGTCTGCTCTCAGTAGATGTATTATGTATTTTACCTTCAAATGAATGTTTAAGTATACAGAGCCACAGCTATATTTGAAATTCAAAGAACATGAATTTCTAAACTGTTCTTTTGCTTTATGCTTAGAGGTACATTGTGAATAGCATTTTTACAGTGTCTGAAAAAAATGCAGGTTCAAGTTTTATATAATGTTGTATTAACAATACAGTTTTATCTTCCTAAATGACGTAAATTATTAAATAGATTTGAGTCAGATTAAAAAAAATTGTATCCATATAACTGGGCTGAGTTTCTTTCAGTGAGAACTTCAGTGAGCCTGTCCGAAGTGGCAGAACTCAGCTATGATTTTAGAAAAACTTCTTGGGAAATTCCATACTTACATACAGGGCCCAAGTTTTAACTGCTTTATTTGCCCTCCAGTGTTTGCTTCCTGTTTTAGGTACAACAGTTAATTTGTATTTCTACAAATTTGGTGCCTGATTGTCTCACATTTCCAAAATGTCTATTTCCTTTCTGATTTTGTGGTTGGGATGTGCCCATGTAAGTACAGCAGACAATAAACAGGTGCATATTTTTATACTAAGGTTACATAATTATTGGCAAACAGCTTTGGCATTTCTTATGAGTCCTGGTTTAAGAATTAGAGCTGTATGTTTTTTGCCTACCCACCCACCCTGGTTGTGCTGCTCTCGCTTCACAGCCCACCGTGGGCCTTATTTGACCCATGAATCTGATGCCTTTGTGTCTTCCACCTTGTTGGTAAATAGGAATATAAGACTGTATCCAGTGAACAGTACTGTTTCAGCATGCTTATTCGGTAATTTTCAGCAAAACTGGGCGTGCTTTTTAGTCAAAGAAGAGCATTTTCATTCATTTTGATGGCTGACCTTATAGTTATTAAAAGAAAAACACGGATATTTCAAATTCCATTAAAAGTACTTTTGGCAAATAGAGTGGTATTGTGTTCTACTGCAGTGAGAGAAGAGGGGGGAAGTGTCACAGAGTGTATGACACGCGACATGCAGTATTCTTTGCTCCTCTTTAATTACAGAAACAAACAAAACCCTTGGCAAAGCTGGAAATTTCTGCCTTTTAATTGAACCCTCCCAAACAGTTTCCCTTCCCTCCGTGTGACCTCACTTGCCTGAAGGTGTAGGTGTAGGTAGATATATATTCATGGACAATTCCTGCACATCCAGCACAGGAGCCAGAGCATTCAGCCTCTGTGCTGCAGTTCTTTCTCTGCTCATAAAGGGCATATTGCATATTGCTTGGTACTTGCTTTTGAATTCTGCAAATAAGTAAGATTCCACTGAGCAGAAAGTAAGATGCAAGGATAATTACTATCTACTTTTTGCTTAAAATACCATCCCCGATCTTGTCCTTTATCTTCTCCTTCTGCAGGCACAGAAATAGAAACACTTTTCTTATTTAAGCCTTCATGTTCTGTGCTTTTGAGACAGTGCAGCTGTTGGGCCTGGTGGGATGTCTGCTCCTGCTGAATGTAGCTGATGTGCTGTGTGTTGGAATGTGGAGCTGAAAATAAAAGAAGTAGGGGAAATTGATGTGGGAACTCATAGTTGGGAACAAACAGCCATAAAAGTCTTTGATTTTTTGAGAAGATTACCTTTTTACTTCCAAGCCTGCATCTTCCCTTACTGCTTGTACACAGCTTGTTGTGATGTGAACCCTCTCTGGCTGGTGATCCAGGTTATTGTGTTTTTCTTCCTCCTGCAGAGATTCTTTTGGGGCTCACATGCATAAGTTACTTCACTTTGAAAGCTTGCCATTTGAAGGAGAACTAAGTCTGGTGTTTCTCTCTGTTCTCCAAATTTGTACAGAGGTCTGTGTGACCATTTAGAGGATTCTTCTGAGCATTTTTTTGTCTTGCACCAAAATGCAAGCAGAAGTCTCCTTAGGTTTTTTTTCATTGAGATGGCATGTGATGCTTTAACCAAGGTTGTGTGCCAGGTTTAAAGCTTAAGAAAGAATGCAAGCTAATGATGTTTTTACTGGTTTTTGTCTTAGCACAGTTAGTAACAAGCTTTGCCCTCATTAGGAGGAAAGAACATTGGCTTGTAATAAAGAAACAGATCTACTTGCTGCTTTCTGTAAAATGTTTTTATTCTTACTTAATATGCCTTTGGGGGAACTGCTTCAAAATAGTTGTTGCACTTCAAAATCACCCTCTGTCTTTATCTGGAATAACTTTCAAAGGCCCATGATAGGGTTTGTTTGTGACATGGATAGAAGTAAAGGCTCTGTCTTTTTTTTCTATATGTTTTTCTAAAATGCACTGTGGCATAAAATCCCTTGTCTTAGAAAAGCAAAAATTGTTCAATGGTTCATCATCTTCTTCCCCAGAAATAAGTACCTAATGCCTTTCTTCGAGTGGATTTCAGTATTAGAAAGTTTGGCCTTAGAAAACAGTTGTTCAGTCATGCTGTTGTCTGAAAAAATTTACAGGGGTTAAAGAAAGCTCTTTCAGGGTTCAAACATTGATCCATTTGATACTGTCCTCTGTGTGTGTGTCTGCAGTACTTGAGTTCTGGTATATTGTAAGGTCTGATTACAGTGATAGATCATAACAGGTAATTTATTATTCAAATTAATCAGAAGGAATTAATCTGGGTCTTATTTTTTGTTATCTTACTGTGACTGATTAGGACACGATAATCTTTGCATCCCAGATTTTCTTTCCTGATGTAAAGGCCTTGATGTTTCCTTAGTTAAATAAAAACCAGGCAATTGTCAATCAAAATAGTTTGAAAACTGACTGTGGATGTGTGCCCAATGGATGTAACATCTGCAGCTCTTCTGCAATGTGTGTCTTGTGGCTTGAGTACTGGACTCAGTGGAGTGGCCATTCACAAGGACCAGTGGCTTTGAAACATTTCCAAAAAAGTTGGACTCAGTAAGAAGGTTTTATCTAGTCATTATCTGGTTTGCTGGCCAGATTAGCATGATTTTTAGAGGAGAGAGGAAAGATATGTGTTAGCAGTAGTCCCATTTGTTCTTTTCTGTACTTCCTGTTCTGTTTTATTTTGGTATGAGTAAATAATTTCAGGTTTGAAGTATCTGAATATTTTATGGATAGAAAAATGCTCACCCTATTCTTTTCTTTTTAACCACCTGGTAGGTGAATTCAGACATCTTTGTGTAATATTTTATTTGTAGGACAGGGAAAGTGAGACTATCATGAACCATATTGCTACTAAGTTAGTAAGTTTTCTTTTTCACTGCCTTCTAGATAGTGTATTTTTCATTTATAACTGGATCTGTTTTCAATCGTAGGTCTTTCCTCTTAGCATTTGATTTCAGACTTTTTGGTTTTATTTTTTTCCCTATTTCTCTTCTTGTCAATGGATAATTGCATACATGAACAATTTGATGCTGAAGTGCATGGTAGTTTGTCTTTACTAGATAAGAAGAGTTCTTACATGCTTTGTAGTCTATGCTGCCTTAAAAGTAGGAATAAAAAGCCAGTCTCATAGTTCCCATCAATGTTTTTTTATCTGTATGCAACAACAGGCAAGCTGAATTTAAATGCTTAAATTGCTCTCTCTTCAGGCAGGTAATCTCCAGACACATTTACGTCGACATTCTGGTGAGAAGCCATACATTTGTGAAATCTGTGGGAAAAGGTGAGTAGAATTGTTCATTTCAGTGAAGTTAGCATGAAAAAATTTGTTCATGTTTTCCACTAATCTTCATGATGAACTACAGGCCAAGAGGTAAGGCAGCATGCTGCTCAGTTTTGTTTAGAAGATGCTGGGTTTAAATGTGTGCTGATGGGGTTAAAATACATTAGTGTTTGCAGTTGACTTACTGTAAGATAATCGTGTCACCAGAGCTTGTGGTCTAAATTTTTTGTGTATTGTTATGTAGATAAGAATAGCATTGAGTGAATTATAAGAGTAGTTGTTATATTATATTGTTGTGTTTTATGTATTGTGTTTTATATTGTTGTGTGTATTTTGAACAGAGCGAGTTACAAGAAATTATGCAGATTTTTACCTTTACCTCACATTTTTTTCAATAATTGGTGATACTTTTTTTTTTTTTTTTACATTTTATGGAGTTCTGAAGTATGGAAAATCTGACAAATTTAAGCAAAGCATTAAATAATTCTGCTAGCTAACAGGTGACAGAAAATACATACATACAGGAATAGAATAAAATTCAAAATCAATTAGTAACTAATGGTAAAAATTTTTCTTGGAAGTTTTTTCCTAGGATAAATTTAATTGGACATTGTCAGTTTAAAAGTGTTTTCTTAATTGCATTCATTTATCTGTGTTTTAGGTCTTAGTCTTTGTTCAGAACATCAGGCATTCATTGAAGCCAATTTCCATATGATAGTTTAGGGAAATAGGGGCCTTATAAAGACACTAATTGGGTTTCTGTGTTGTGTTACAGATTTGCTGCTTCTGGCGATGTTCAGCGTCATATAATTATTCATTCTGGAGAAAAACCTCACCTGTGTGATATCTGTGGCAGAGGTGTGTAAGAACCAAAGCTTCTGCCTCGGGTTTTCTGACTGAAAAGTGAGGAGTCATTTTAATCTCAGAGTCTGTCATATTTTTCTAGGTTTCAGTAACTTCAGTAATTTAAAGGAGCACAAAAAGACTCATACAGCAGATAAAGTATTCACCTGTGATGAATGTGGGAAGTCATTTAATATGCAACGAAAATTGGTAAAGCACAGGATAAGGCACACTGGAGAGAGACCGTACAGCTGTTCAGCTTGTGGTAAGGTTCACTGTGCATTACTTGGTTGTGTCTTTGCTTTTTAAATGATGAGTAGAAGTTCCTCTGTCAGCAGAATAACAATTAATCAAAACTGTTTTAAATTGAAATATCTTGTTGTGGAAGTCAGTCACAAAATTTTTTGTCTTGCATGCTTCATAGGCTTTCATTTGGTGTAATAAACTCCTTCATTTTTCTTAAGTTTAAAAGAGAATTACAGTTGAAAATTAGAGAAAGGAAGTAAGAGGAATCAACATTGTATGTTTGCTAAAGAGCTACTCATAGAAGCTGCATCAAAAATAGATTTTTTTTCAGAATAATTCTTTCTGATGTAAAGTTAGATTTGACATCACTTGGCTATTGATGGGATCTTTTCTTTTTTTTTTTCCAATTGCATACCATTTGATTTTAACTCCATTCACCCACAGAGTTTGATAATAACAACCTTTTGTTACTTTGCTTCAGCCTCTGGAATAAAATCAAAACTTGATCAGTATTTCAGAACACCCATTTTCAAAATCTGTTAGATAGGCCATACTGCCAGGAGGTCTGAAAGTGGCTTTTGATCCATCAAAGATCAAAGATTTGGTCCATCCTGATCTTATAGGTTACTTAGCACCCCGCATAGTATTTATTTTTTTGCCATTATGTGCTATTTTCACAGAATTTCATTCATGTTCTGAGGAATCAGCTTTGGAGGAGGGTAGCTTCGTATGTTCCAATCCAACTGCAGTATGTTTTATTTGCACTTTCTTAAGGCACAAGAAAAAGCCAATATTATCAGGAGGCCTTGCATCAGAATGAGGAAATAGATACACAGGACACGAAAGCAAAAACAATCAGTTGTGTTGCTGTCATTAAACAAGCTTGCTTTCATTTTGTCTTATAGTAGTCTTTCGAATATTTTTTATTTTAGCCAAGTCATCTTATTCTGAAAAGGCAAAAATTGTGTAAAGAAGATCTGATGAAGCATTAAGAAATCATTCACACTATGCAAAAAATCCAGATGTATTACTCCAGTAGTTTTTATTCTTATCATTACTGTTTAATGGATATTCTGAAGAGAAATCTGTTTAGCAAAATTAAAAGTATGCTGCTTAAAATTGAGACTGCAGTTTTATTGGGCAGTCATTTAATATGGTTTGTTTTAGTTGGTATCTGTCCTCGCAACATAAAAGATAAAAAATCACAAGCTTGCTTCTGCTATTTTAAAGACTGTAATGTGTCTGAGTCATATTGTAATTCTGGAAATCATTTCTCTTCTGCTTGTTCTTCTACACTTGGTTCAGTCTCAGACTCTTTTCTTAACAGTATGGTGCTTGAGCTTATTTGAGTCTTTAGCTTTGAAGATAGACAAACAGTTGAATCTTTTTCTGTATTCTAATATTTACAGCAATAAAAAATTACAGTTCTCACACATTCTCTGGCTAGAATATAAAAAAGAGACTGCTGCATTATGTTAGCCTAAAGTTAACAAAAAAAGCTAACTTTTGTCAGCAGTTTGAGAGTAGTTCCTTGGTAATGAACAAACCATTTCTTTCTATGATGCAGCTTCTTCTCTGGAAGAATATATTTAGAAGCTTATTAGCATACTGTTTTTCCAGACAGAGAAATTAAATTGATAGTTTAAATTTATTTTTTCTTTGTGAAGATTGAGACAAACTGAGAGCAGTCACAGCTTTCAAGTACTAATGGATATTCCTGTCTCTGGAGACAAAAGCTAAACCCATTCATTGGGAAACACAAGTTAAGAAATCAGATCAAGAAGAAGCAGCAAGCTAATGGAATTGTAAAAATAGATGGAACTTGTTTGAACCTGATCTAGATAAATGACGGGACATACGATACGTTATGGCTTGCTAGTTTCTGTAATTAAAGCATGCTTGTTGGCCCGTGCTGAGAGCCGTGTGTGTGTCCCTGGTGTCTCGCAGGGAAATGCTTTGCCGGCTCTGGTGACCTGCGCAGGCACGTGCGGACGCACACGGGGGAGAAGCCCTACAGCTGCGACACGTGCAGCAAGAGCTTCACGCGCTCCGCCGTGCTGCGGCGCCACACCAAGATGCACTGCAGGGCCTCTGGGGACAGGCCCAGCGCACTCGAGGACTTCACCCAAGCCGTTGAAACCTCTGACCTGGACAAGTCCCAGAGTTCGGACTCTTTTGGCCCAGAAATGTCTGTTACGTTGTTGCCAGTGTCTGTTAAATTTCCCATTCATCCAGCTGGAAACGCGGCGGAATTCGAGGGTTCTGCGGATTCTTACTGTAAGCTGCGATCGATGATCCAGCACCACGACTCGGCCAGCCCAGAGAAGCTCAGCGTGGATTCTGCTAAACTCCTGAAAGGCCAGGCACAGCAGGCCCCAGCCCCAGCCTACGCTTACCCAGACGTGGATGTGTCCTCAGCAGAGGAGCCCCTGCAGTCCGAGGGCATTCCCATGATCCGCTCCTCGGTGGCTGCTCTGGATGGCCACTGCAGCGAGCCCCTGGGCAGCCGGGCCTCCTCTGCTCCATACAAGAGCAACGAGGGGCCCTTCTTCTCCAGCATGACCCTCTGGGGCCTGGCCATGAAGACCTTGCAAAATGAAAGTGAATTGGAGCAATGAGGGCTCAGCTGACTGTGCCAAAACTTCTTAGAGGCATTCCATGCTAACGTGGTTGCAATCGCTCTGCAGCATAGGGAGATGACAGAGAGTTTCTAAGCCAGGTAGCTTGGACACTGACAGGAATCCAAGTGCTGGATCCCAGAAGCACGTGTAGCCTGCCTTTATTTACACTCAGCAAAGTTTAAATGCACTGTTGGGACCTTTGTTGTTCTGTGACTGCACTGTGTAGCTCCTGTGTTATTGCCATGATTTACTAAAATTTGCCAGCACCTAAATTTACCATGTGACTTGGAATTTTTTTACCTGATAATGGAGAGAAGGATGGCCAGTGTCTAGGTTCGTGATATGGGTACAGTTCCAAGTATGGGTCATCAGAGCTGTGTAAGGGTGTAGATATGACAGGAGGAAAATGCTTAACCAATCCCTAGAGAACCTGAGTTTCAGTAGTGGCTTTCTTACCAGTAGGGTCATCAGTTTACAGGATCTGAGTATTGTGATATTAAATTTAAATGTTAAATACTGGGCAATATTTGTGATAGTGCAAAGTAACTGTATATCTAGAAACTTTATTTTTTTACAACAAAAGCTTTTTTTAGTATTTTATAAACTATTTTGCACAGCAGATTATTTGTACAATGAAGGCCAAGATCAAGTTGTGAATAAAAGGAAATTGTTTTACATTGCTTGATGTATTTCATCTTTCTATGAAGGATTTTCAGTAACAGTTCTATCTATTCCAAGTATCCTTACAATGCTAAAGGGGATGCCATCACAAGAAGAGCTGCACTATAAAATAAATGCAATCAATACACCAGTAGGTTGTCTTGTACTTGAATGAGTATAAAACATTGGCTGATTAATGAAATAAATAGACTGTTACAGAGTAGAAACGTTGCTTAGAGGCCTTCTTCTGTTTCAGTGCTTTGAGTAGTTGCTGAATTTCAAAGGGCTTGCTACAGATACATGACATTCTGTGGAAATTTAAAGCTTGGAAAATATTCTTCTGTCTTTTTAAGGTGCTCACCAATTTTTTCCCCCAAGAATTGAAAACTAGTTGTTTCATCTCTAATTGTGTTAACCACCATACACTACAATTTGGGGTTTCACTTCCATACTTCCTTTACTTAGTCCCTGTACCTTCCTGAACTGCTTTCAACCTGAGTTAAAATGAGAGAGTGTTTCTGGCCAGAGTACAGCATGCCTCAGGACAAAAGGGGCAGCCCATTACACTGCCTGTGTGAGTCTCAAAAGATACACATTTCTCTCAATAGTCATTTAATGTTATGAAAACCTTTTTTACTGCATTAGCAGAACAGTTAAAAAAATTAGACACCAAACTGGAGACCAAATTGGTTTTTTTTTTCACCTTTTCCTTGTAGTGCACATATACTAGAAAACTTAAAAATAGTATTTTTCCAGCCAGTGAAATCAAAAAACAAAAGCTTTTGCAGGGTGTGTGTGTTAAAAATAGCACATAGTCTAGCTGAACACAGTCCCACATGGACTAATCAGGGAACATTTTATATATGTGAACCCTTAGCTCTCTCCTCACCCTTTGCTTTTTGCATTATTTGCTTTGGAACACTGCAGTTCCCTGTGGGAATTGCCCACGTGCCATTCTACAGTCCAGGTATTACAGTTCTGTCCCTGACCACGTGTGCTCATGCTCACTCTCACTCTGCTTTCCTTGCACTGGTGCCTGAGGCAGAATGTGGGTATCTGCCAGTCACTAACTCTGTAGGATTCCTCTTGTCAGAAACTATTTTTAAATTTACTTAACCCAAGAGAAGATAGAAATTTGACTCTGTTCCCACGAGGATTTTGTTGCTTGGAAAGGAAAATCCGAAATTTAAGAGCCTCCTAACTTTTTAGTTGTCTCTGATTCCACAGTGATTTTGCATTCTCTGTTATATTTTTGAGGAGTCACTATAGGATAAGTTTAAATCAAACCATGTTGCAACCTTTGTGCTCTTCTAACAGTGTGTTGGAGGTCTGGAGGAATGTGTGAAACTGTCATAAAGGGAAAGTGGCAACTTGAGATACTTTTAAACACATAGATCAGATCATGGAGTAGTATCAGGTGCTTTGTGCCAAGAGGACAGCTCTATTGCATTAAGGATTATTCCCCTTGCTTGGCAGTATTTCTGTGAGAGTTGTTCCACACCAGAGACATGAAAGTTCTCAAAACTGCTACCAGACTGTGAATGCTGTTTGCAGTTTGGAGGGTTTGTTAGAACACCACATTGCAATGTGGCATCTTTGAGAAGGAAGTAGAGCAAACACTGGTAGGAGGAAGCTGTTCCATCTGAGTTGGTGCAGCTGGAACCAGAAAAAGAAGGAGTTACAGCACTGGGAAGGAACACTAAGAACTGTTGTTTCTAGCTGGCTTCAAGGAAAAGCTGAGCAAGAGAGAAAATTCAAAAGATGAGTAGGTGGATGGAGTCAGATGGAAGAGAATGAATTTTTATGTATAAAGAGTTTTGGATTAAGAAGCCCCATCCCTGCAGCCACTGCAGTGAGAATATCACTGCATGACTGCAAGAAAATGTATTTTGCTGTTGTGTTTCCAAAATCAAATGCAGTCTGTCATGTCAATGTAGTATTGCCTGAGCATTTGTCAGAGAGACCTCAGTATAAAATTACCTTGAAAGAGGATCTTTCCTGTATCCTAATAATTTCCTATGCCATCCTGTAGGTCTGTAATGAAGAGGATGTATGAGAGGGAATAGCAAATATGGTTGGATAGTCCTAATGCTGCCATAAACCTGGCACAGCTGGGGAGGAGCAGCTCCCCCTTGGCTTTGAAGAGCAGGTGGAAACTGTGACACCAGTGCTGAGGCAATGGTATTTTACAAGCAGCAGACACCCCTCCATAGCTATTGCTCACAAATACCCATAGCCAGGGTGCTCAAGGGGAAGAATAAGCATCCTAAGATCCTTTGGCCAGTACCAGACAGTGCAGTAGTGCTATTATAGTTGATATAAATGAAATGCTATTAAAAAAAAAAAAAAAAAATTTTTGGGGAGAGGATGTTAACCAACCTGGCCTAGTAAAATTGGAAGACTGCTAATTGTTATTTCTTGCAATAATTATCCTGCAGCTCAGAGCTGCTCTTTGTCTTGCAAACCAAAATCACTTTTTTTTTTACAGAAGATGCAGGTGACGACCCAGGGATTCGTTTGGGTTTGTTCAGGGCAGACATATCTGTCATTTGACTCCTGAACCATATTTTCAAAAATCAAATTATTGTTTTGGCTTAGAAGGCATTGCTGTGGTTGTTTTATTTTATTGATTTGATTGTTTTTTTAAATTTATTTTGATTAAAGAGCATTAAATCTGTACAAAACATAACCTGCCATTTTTATGTGAGGATGTAATAGCAAAAGGAGAGATCATATAATTACATCTATAGGAAAAGGAGAAATCATATAATTACATCTACAGGAAAAGATCATATAATTACATCTAAGTTCAAATAACTACTAAAAAAATCATCTGCATAACACTTATTTTCTAGTTTAGTTAGAACTGAAAAAGTTGTATAAGGAAGAACTTCATTAGGAAGTACTTACTGCTTGTTTATTACCTGTTGCCATTGAGCACAGAGTGGTTTTGTGGTCTAACACTTCATCTGCATTCTCTCACACTCTTTTTAAACCTGGCCTACTAGATGTTTCTCGAATTCAGAGGTCGGGCTTTAGAACAGAGCACTTGTGCTTTGTTTCCATGGCTTCTTCAGCAAATTCAAATACACTTAAACTCCTGTTGATAATTTTCCAGGGAAGTAATTGCTACACATGAAGTATTCCCAAAACATCTAAGTGGCATATACAACAGCAAGCCAAATTTAAGACAAAATCAGTGTGAAGTAAGTGGAACTGGCCCCATAGGCCATTTGCTTCTGGAATCCACTTTTTTCTTTCCTTGCATTGTCTTCCCCACTGTGGGTAGCTCCATTCATACGTGGACAGCTGCATTCAATTCTTGCTGCTCACTTCATGCCACTTACCCACTCCTCATAATCCAGACCAGAGGTTAATGTATTCAAGCTCAGTGAGGAAAAGTATAGAGGCATATAGATAAACAGAGTTGTAAAACTTTATAAATTCTCCAGGCTCCATGTTTTGGAGTGTGTGCTGGTATTTGGGATATTTCGCTTTCTTTAGCTAAAGAGCTTGTTTGAGAAGTACAATGTTAGATAAACATGGCAAGGCATGTAGATGGTCCTGCTTGAGAAGAAGACTTAATAGAAAGCAAATAAACATGAGCTTTATAGACAGATTGAAAGGAAAAATGTGATAGCTTGGGAAATGTGTTCTAAGGGCAACTGAAGTGCCTTAGATGCAGCTATTTGGTAATTCAGTATGCTAATGACTTCAAAGTGACCTGTGCTCCACTGTGCTGCAAATAGATTTCTTTGTATTGGTACACACAGGCTTGTGCTTTCTGGTCCATAGCCTTATTCATTAATCCTTACTGACATCTATTATTGAATTTGCCTTCTCTAAACAGTTGGTTTCCACCTCTGCTATTAAATCTCCATCCTAGAAAATAGATAAAAACTACCTTTAAAACACAGCCTGGTGAAGACACAAGCTAGTGACTCAGACATCTTTTTTCCTGAAGACAGTACCCCTACTGTTTAAATATAATTTTTTTTTTCTTTTTTGTAGTTGATATTCACATGTGTGTTCAGATCTGACAACAGTTTTGTTCACTTGGTGAGGGAATTTTTCCTGGAAGGTTACAAAAGCCCATTAATAGAAGTGCACAATGCAGTGCTGAGGAGCGTGCATGCATGAACTACAAGTCTGCCAGCTTTTTGTGAAGCTCTGCATGGGGCAGTATACTGAAATAAAGCCTTTCAGACCCTTTTAATGTAGTTCTGACCTTCCACTCTATATTAAACAGATGACTGGAACCAGAAAGATAGGTCATTGTGATTGCAGTTAATATTTGTAAGGACCAAAGCAGCTCTCAGCCTTTGAGGTAGAAGGGAATCATCTTAAGTGTGAAAATGTATCATCACAAGAATGGAGAGGATCAAAGGAAGGCCAGCTGGTGCTCGGACATCTTTTCATAACCTTTATTACAATGCTAGAATACACTAACCTCAATGGGAAGTCCATTCAGTTCATGTATTTCAAATAGATAATCTGTATTCTGGTGAAACAAAGAACGTGGAAAAAAAGCCCTTTCTAAAAAGGGGGTGGTCAGCACAAATTGCCTATGATTTAATCATTTTGGTTTTCTAAAATCAGCTTAGCTTTTTCAATGCAAATATATGAATGTTTAACATGCTTATTTTAGAAGTGACTGAAAATTTATAAAATTTAAGTGCAGAGAGTTCTAGCAGATTTTACTGTGGTTTACTTCCACTTCAGAATAAATGCCCTCCACATATTCATTTGCCATGTACAAAAAGCAAGACATAGTATTTCAGGGGGAAAAAAAAAAGCCAACAGAACAACCATACACATTAAAGCATCCAGAAGGCATGTATATGTGGAGTTGTGAAAAGGCCAAGATTAAGGCTGACTAGTTTTGACAAATATCCAAAATTTAAGTTTGGGCCTTCAGGGAACATCAAATTAGCAATATCAAAGCAGAAAATCAATGAAGATTGCTCTTTGTTAGTCAGCTGCTACAGTGAAGTCCTGTGCCCACAGGCTGAGGGCT